AAAAATCCGCGAGCACATGTATCTGACTAACATAGTTAAGTCAAAATATAGGTAGCTTTTGTTTTCTAAAATTAATTTAGAGCTCTGGTATAAAGAAGAGTTGGTTACATTCGTATCGTATTATTAATTCTTATTCAAATAAATAGTTTTATCATCAAGGGTTAATTTAGCAATAAATTACTTTTTAATTCATTCAAATCGGTTATTTAATTTCGAAGTAATCACGAGTATACAAATGCAATACGCGAACCGTTCGACACCGCGGCGATGTACCCTACAACATAGTGATCGGTGGCCCGTGTTGCTCTATGTTAGATTACACCTTTTTTTTTAATTAAAATTTTAATCATCTATATTTTTTTTAATATTATAATGGCCCTAAGGGTTCGCATACTGTAGTACCAATATTTGATGATAAAGCTTGCTTATTTAGGGCAACCTCTTATCAGTTGTGTGGGAACCAATTGTTAGCTAAATAAATTCGGAATCAAATTGTGGATTTCGTTATTGCGTTTAATTTGTAGTTTATTTACAATATGTTACACTAGCTTAGAATTTGCCCAATTCGTTTCTTGGGTTTTTGTTGGTCTGTTTGTTGGTTTGTTCGTTAGTTTGTCTGATTGACTGATTTACTGAATGTTTTTATCCAAATATTAAATAATTTTTAGGTGTTCGTGGCAATTCAAAGTACAAATAAAATCATCATCACATATCGTAACAAAAGTACTAATTTCACGCGAACGAAGTCGTAGGGCACAGCTAGTTGAGAATAAATGAAGATGTCTATGGGTCACAGCAGCTACTACTACGTATGTCACCCTAATTCTATCAAAAAAAAAATTAGAGAGAATTAGGGCAAACCCTATCTACTACGGGACAGGCCATTATCCAACAATATACTTTCACGAACTGGTGATGATGATAATATCATCATCACCGTTGCACATAATACGTTTTTAAAACATGATTTATTTGAGTTTAATGGTGTTTACAAAATAATTATCCATGTCGAAAAAAATTTAAATAAACCCATTTGAAACATCATGTCCATTTGCTATACCAATACAATCTAAAGAAAAGACATCATCATCAATATTGTCAAATCATTAAAGCCCATTACAAGTCCACTGCTATACATAGCCCTTTCCCAAGGAATGCCACAAAGCACAGTTCTGATCCACCTGCATCCATCGATTTCCTACATAAAAAGCATGTATCTGCATGAAAGAAAAGAAAATAAAGCAATTTATAAAATGTTTCCGTAATTTATCACGCTTAAAAAAGCTTTCCAAAATGTGACATATTTTTCCACATTATAGGTATTTTTTTGGAATATTTCAAAGGCTTATGTTTGATTACATAATGAACGTTATTTATTACAAATATATTAAGATGAAATATTATTTTGACTCTAGCCAAGAATCCTTGTAAATGTAGGTTTCAAATATTTCATGTCTAAGAACGGAGTCTGTGATAACCTTGTGTACCGTAATTTTATCGAAAGAAACTTGAAGACCGTATTCATCAATTACAAAATATACTAATAAAATTATGAAAAAAAAACTTCAATCATGATCTAATATTTAACCTTTAAGCTTCAGTTTAATCTTTTACATATTATGCGTACTCAGTTATTTTTTGTCAAAATCAAGATATAAATTAAATAACGGGTTTGCTTTGGAGAGGGTACGAGTAATGCACAGAGATTCTGTATTTTTTCATAGAATAACTGTATGCTATTTTGTCACTAAAAACTAGCACACAGTTCACCTGATGGTAAGTGGAAGTTATGGCCTTTTATCTACATCTATACTCGATCATGAATCAAAATGTAGATGAGTTGTCACCGATGAGGACTTAAATAGTGTTTCTCAGTACCAGTAGAAGTGGTTTCTGGTTCTCTACACTTACCACACAAAACACAGAAGCATTAAGCTGCTATTTTACGCTGGTATTCTCTGAGAGCGTGGTCCTGCCCCAGTCAAAAAGGGTGATCCCGTCCAGAACTTATTCGTATTACTACAACAGCAGCGTGCATTGGTACTCTACCAAGTTAAAAGTCAGCGGTGATAGAATTCAAAACGAAGATATCTGCAGTAAAACCAAAGTAGCTGACAAAGCCCAAAAGGTCAGTATTGGCAATAGGCCAGTCATATAGCTCGAAGAACCAACAACTGGTGGTAAGGAAAGGTTCTTGTGTGGTAGCCTCGTTCAGCTTAGCGATGTTTTTTTTTCGCATATAGTCCACCTGATGGTATGTGGTTGCTGCGACCCATAGACATCAACATCTATCCTCGTTTGCGAATCAAAATGTAGATGCGTTGCCACCCGTGAGGACTAAGATGGAATGCCTCATTTCCAGTAAAAAGGGCCTTCGGCCACCTGCACTCACCAAGCGAAACGCAGAGGTAAACCTCTACTTCACGCTGGTATTCTGTGAGGTCGTGGTACCACTAGGGTGACTACCTGGTAAGAAATACAGTATGTCGATGGATGTATAAGTTTCAGGGCCGTGTTTTGTTACATTCCTTCCTACATTCCCATTCGGGAAGCCCTTTGATCAGCAGTGGACTTTTGGAGGGTTATAATGATGATGATGAAGATTTGCTTGTTTTGTTACTGTAACAAGCTTTAATAATACATTTCTATATTTTAAAATAGTCTATGCTAGTCTCTTTATTACTCTCCTGGCATTTATATAAGTTTTTTTCTGTTCCAACTACTTAACATTTTTTGTTTATGGGGAAGAGCGAATTCCACGTACCTAAAACGAAAATACTTTAAAGATTCTCAAAACACAACATTTAGATGTTTTATTTATTTACTAAGCATTGTGATAAATATTCTTTGGCGTGCTCATTGAATCATGATACCACTTGTATGAACCTACCCTTGGGAAATTTAAGTTTCTCCTCAGAACAGAGATTGCTGTCGGGGAAATATACTTGTGTAGATGAAACGAACCAGGTAAATAAACCAAAATACATTTATTTTCCCATTTAATTTACGTTCTGAATAGTTAATAATGGTCATGTTTTAAATATTTTAATTTACGTCGAGATGATGATTATGCGATGAAAAATATATTAACACGTAATTTATAGACATAATTATTTCTTTATTGTTTTCTTTAAACATTACCTTCAGGGTACTAGGATTTTCTTTTGACTCGTGGGGTCAGTTTACGGACATAAACTTCACGAGCACAAACATCCAGATCCGAAAGAATTATTTGTAGGGCATACAAATACTTATTACATACGGGATTTGAACCCGCGGCCTCAAGGCCGCAATGAGTTGCAATGCTTAGACGCTCGCTATGTCACGGAGCCGTCAAATCAAACAATGAGATTACCATTCACCATATTTTTAATCTCGGTAAAAGTTCATTCTGATCTAACTTTCTGAGTGTTGTATTAATATCAACTCATTTGTCTTCCCTTTTTTACAATCATGTTTCTGTAGCAGGCCCACTTGGTGCTTTAGGCTACGAATGACTAAAATATGACTAATATAGAACACACGGAGCGTTGGCCGTTTCCTTGGCTGAACACCTTGCCCTGTGAGAGATTTCACCTTTTCCTTTCACACGGCTAAAACTATTTTAGCCACTTGTTTCACTACCACGCTTATAAACCCCTGACCCTTTTTATTGGTAACGAGCCATCTTATTTTCAGGGGTGACAACGCATATGCATTTTGATACTTAATTGAGGGTAGATGTTGATTTCTATGAGCTGCAGTAATTAACCTACCATTAGTCAGACTGTGTGCTCGTTTGTCACACATATTCTTAAAAAAAAGAACAACATATGGACTATGAGATTAACCAGAAGACACTACTATACCCCTGTACAATTTTTTTAGCGAGAGACAACTAATGGGGAAGGAAGGTTTTCGAGTGATAACCTGGTACCATTGATCGGAATGTAAAACGACCCGCCAGTAGATAGAGTAACGAGCAGGAAGTCGATCGATGCCGCCTTAGGACTGTGTTTAGTGGCATTTCTTGGGGAAGTTCTCTTTTAAACACTGGACATCAGAATGGCTGTGATGATGACACTAACAATCATAGCAGACTTGACCATATAATATCAGTTATCACAAAATATAACGTCCATAATTAAATATTAACATTCAGAATACATACTATAAGGAAACATTAAAAAATAACTTAGTTACGAGTTATTGAAATTTACATTAAATGTTCAGTACGCAATCGTTAGCGTTGTACTTACAATAGAAATAATTTGAAATCTTTAACAACGAAACATTTGTAAGTTCATTCAACTTTAACTATAACTTTAACTTTATACAATTTTAAACATAATAACCCAGAAGTTCTCATTATTATTTTAAATATTTTTGGTTTTGTTCTGTATTAAATCTCTAAAGGTTTAATCTAAGAGCCGTAGTCAGGGCACTGTGGGGCAATGCCTTATCTTAAAAGACCAGTGTGGTGTCAAATAATTTAAGTATAGGGTTTAGTAAAACAACCAACTATCAGTAAGTAGGTACACAGCACAAGACAACGTCCACTCGCTACCGATGACAGATCGGCAATGCGAGTGTCGCGCCACCGTTGGTGTGTGTACTACATTTAATTATACATATATCACATCTCTTCCTTTTTATATATTAATTAATTTTATTACTATAATAAACAAACAGAACAATGTTTTATACTTTAATCAATTATCAATCTGAACTTCTTTATCCTGATCAACAACTTTCCATTAACCTTCCACTTTCTTAAGGTGTACGATATTCCTCCTGTACTCCTGACCAGTTTCATCATTTTTTATGTTTATGTCACTTCCTTCAGAGCTAATAACAGTATGGGGGGTTGGGTTAAATTCCGAAACTAATTTATTTTCTTTTATCAATTTCTTCACGTACACTTTATCTCCTATTTCTAGTTCCCTATCAATAGCTCATCTTTTATTGTCTTCGTTTAATTTGCTTTTCTCTTTTCTTTCTTTGTCTCGATCTCTTATTTCTTAATCATCATAACTATTTTCGAGGTCTGTTAAAAAAGGTAGTTTTTCTCTGAATTGTCTTCCATAGAACAGATCGGATGGGGACTTTCCTGTGGAGGGATGAGGAGTACTGTTATACATCATTAGGTATTTTAACAAATCATCTTTCCAGTCAGATTTTTCGCACTGACTGATTTGCAGTCGCTTAAGGTTATCCCTGTTTTGCCTCTCTACTTCCCCATTTTGCTGAGGCCAGTAAGGGATCGTATTAAAAAGCGTTATCCCTTGATCAGTACAGAATGTTTTGAATTCCTGACTACACAATTGTCTACCATTGTCTGCTGTTATACTAGCAGGATTTCCGGCTCGTGAAAAAATTTTTTTCAATACTTTTATTGTGTCTTGTGTTGAAATAGATTTCATGATTTCGATGTCTTTATATCGACTGTAATAGTCAATAATCACTAAAAGATGATCTCCGCTTGGCAGTGGACCCAAAAAATCAACGGCTGTATCCACCCAGGCTTTCGAAGGGAGTTCACGCCTTTTCATAGTTACTGGTGGATTGGGTGCCGAGACTAAAGTACACCCTCTGCAGCTTTTTACGGTAGTTTCAGCGTCTTTGTCTATTTTTGGCCACCATACTTTTGTGCGCAGCCTAGCTTTCATATTGACTATACCTGGATGACCTTTATGGGCCGCTGCTAACATTTGTTTCCTCAACTTAGTAGGAATCACCATTTTGTTTCTTCTCAACAAGACGCCATCGTGTAACCAGAGTTCATGTTGAAATAACTTATAATTATTTAATTCAGTAAATAATTATAAGTTACTTCAACATGAATTCTGGTGCTTGATGCTGATGCTTCAGCATCCCAAGCATTGTTAATCAAAGGATCTTTTACTAATTTAAACTGATCATCGTCATTTGATGCTTCAATAATCGATTTAAGAAATAATGCTATGGGTCGCGCGTATTGAACAATCTGGTTAACATGATTTTCGCCTTCAAAAGAAATGTTTTGTATGCTGGTCGTACATAAACGTGATAATGGGTCTGCTATATTGGATTTTCCGGGCTTATAAATAACTTTATAATCGTATGCTTGTAATCGAAGGACCCAGCGCTCGATTCGCGCACAAGGCTTTGGTCCCGTACCAAATATAACCTCCAGAGGTTTATAGTCTGTGATAAGCTCAAACTATTTCTCATATAAGTACATGTGGAAGTGTTCAATTGCCCACACTAAAGCCAATGCCTCCTTTTCGGTCTGACAGTATCGTTTCTCAATGTCTGTCAGGCTCTTATTTCCGAAGGTAATGATGCGGGGTCCTTTGTCAACGTACTGAATCAGTACAGCGCCTAAGCCTACCGGACTTGCATCGGCGATTACTTGCGTACGATCATTTGGGTCATAGTAGCCAAGAGTATGAATCTTGGAGAGACAATTTTTTAATTCGTGAAAAGCCATTGAATGTTCTTTTTTCCAAAAAATTATGATATTAGCATTTTTGTGCATTTTTTACGAAGCAATTGCTGAATGAGTTCCGTTAAGGTTGACAAATTGGGGATCCACTTTCCTACAAAGTTGATTAAGCCCAGAAAACTTTGAATTCCTTCGATGGTTTCCGGTGATCTAAACGTCTCGATTGCTTTTATATATTTGTCACATGGTTTAATACCTGATTGCGAAAGCTCGTGGCCCAGAAACTGAATAGATTTTGCATTAAAAATACATTTATTTTTGTTCAGTAAAACATTATTGTCTTTGAGTACTGTTAAAACATGTTGAAGCCTGGTATCATGTTCTTTTTTATCACGTCCAAAGACAACAATATCCGATCCAATGAAGTTTACCACTCCTTCGCATGGCAATAACATTTTTTCATAATTTTTTGGAAATATTCAGGTGCACAAGATATACCGAACATTAACCTTTTGTATCGGTAAAGCCCTTTACTAGTGATAAAAGTTGTGATATTTCTGCTATTTTTATCTAGTTCAACCTGATGAAAAGCGTTCTTAATATCCACCTTTGAAAAACATGTTGCTTTGCAAAATTTGGGAATAAGTTGTTCCATGGTAGGCAAGGGATGATTTTCTCTAATAATTGTTTTGTTAGCCGCATGCATATCCAAGCAAATTCGAATATCATCATCAGACTTTAGAATCGGTACCATCGGAAAAATTCAAGAGGATGGCTTATTTACAGGTTCAATGATGTCCATTTTAACCAGTTCGTCTATTTTCTTATTTATCCTTAATTCCAAAGGAATTGGGACTTGTCTATAAGGTTGACAAACTGGAGGAACAGTTTTGTCAATAGTGATGTTTAATTGAACATCTTTGAAGTTGGGAAATTGTTTTTCCTCAATGGAATTCACGACAAAGCCTACTTTTAACACATCAAAGAAAATGGCGGTTTCTTTATCCAAAAGATTCCTTGAACCATTTTCTATAACATAAAATTTTGTTAGTAATGAATTAGGACCAACTTTTATTTGTGCATCAAATGAGCCTAACACTTTAACTTTAACACTTAAACTTTGTTTGGCACCATAAGCCAGGATCGTTTTATTTGAAGACTATGTTGGTTGGAAACTATAAATTTAGATTGTTTCATGTATACCCAAGTTTTATCATTAATAATATTTGATCTGCTACCGGAATCAATGAGCATTTTTATGTTTACCCCACCTACCTGACAATCTATTGTTGCGTCGTCGTCGATATGGAAAATATAGTCTACAGATGCAGACTCTCTATTTTTTGTGGTTTCTGTTTTGGGTCTCTTAACTTTATGGTCTTCATTTGACGTGAGGTTGGTACTTTTTCTTTTATTGGCCCTTGTTCTACAGTGTTTCTGAAAATGACATTTGAAACCACATTTCATAGAATACACATTTATTGCAGGGCAGGAACTATTGTCATTTTTGTGACCTTTACTGCCACATCGGCTACAGAAATTAACCTCTTTTTTAGAATATAGTTTCGTTGCTATAGTGTCAATTTTATTTAGGGTGGTAGTTGTTGTGCTCTGTCTATCGTGAAACTCATTTAGCTGCCGTTCTACGGTTTCTAGGGAATTTGCCTCTGCCACGATTTCTTCAATGGTTGCCGTGTCATCAATTTTGCCGTGTCAAAATTTGGTCAATAAGATTTTCATCTGCATTAGCGAAATTGCATTTAGAACTTTGACGTCTTAGACGAACCAAGAATTTTTCAATCTTCTCGTTTGTTTCTTGTTTCATCAACCGGAAAATGTGCCTTTCAAATAAATAACTTTGTTTGGGGGAAAATAATCGTCCAACTTTTTAATTGCGGTGTCGTACACGTCAGTGGCATCAGGATTAGTCACGTGGACACCAGGTATATTGAAATAAATGTCTTGTAACACCATGTCTCCGGAGTGTAATAGCATGGCGCGTTTTGTAATTTGAGCATTGGTATTTGTTGCTACGAAGTATATTTCTAGGGCACGTTTCCATTTGTTCCACCGGAAACTTATGGAGGTTGGATCACCTTCACGATCGAATGGTTTTTTTGCCGGGACTTGTGATTGGAACATTTTTGGACGATCTGCAAATAAGTAAGGGAGGGGACTTGTAAACATACCAATGTTGTAAAAGAATTCCTAGATCGATTTTTTTAAGTAGCGTAAAATAAATGTTTAATATTTAAATTATCTATATACATATTGAATAATATTTATTGGATTTAGCAAAAGAATTAAGTATCATCATCATCATCATTACAGCCCTTCACAAGTCCACTGCTGAACATAGGCCTCCCCCAAAGAATGCCACAAAGCACGGTCCTGAGCCACCTGCATCCATCGACTTCCTGCATGTCTTACCAGGTCGTCACTCCATCTCGTGGGGGGACGCCCTACACTTCGCCTACCGGTACGAGGCTGCCACTCGAGAACCTTTCTTCCCCATCGGTTGTCGGTTCTTCGAGCTATATGGCCGGCCCACTGCCACTTCAGCTTACTAATCCGTTGGGCTATGTCGGTTACTCTGGTTCTACTGCGGATATCCTCATTCCTAAGTTTATCACGCAGAGAAACTCCGAGCATAGCCCTCTCCATAGCTCGCTGAGCGACCTTGAGCTTCCTCATACGGCCAGCAGTGAAGGACCACGTCTCAGTTCCGTAAGTCATCACTGGCAACACGCACTGGTTGTACAATTTCGTTTTAAGGTTTTGAGGTACGTCTGACGAGAAGATGTGTCGTAGCTTCCCGAACGCTGCCCAGCCGAGTTGAATCCGTCGATTGACCTCTCGGTCGAAGTTGGACTTACCTAGTCAGACTATTTGTCCCAGGTAAACATACTCGTCAACAACTTCGAGCTTAGTGTTCCCAACAACTACCGGCATAGGTGTGACATGGACATTGAACATGATCTTTGTTTTGTCCATGTTCATCTTAAGACCTATCCGTTGGGAAACACTATCGAGGTCATTGAGCATAGTGCTTAGGTCCTCCAGCGATTCTGCCATAAGGACTATATTGTCGGCAAATCGAAGGTGAGTGATGTACTCGCCATTGATGTTGATACCGTATCCTTTCCAGTCCAGAAGCTTGAAAACGTCTTCCAATGCAGCGGTGAAGAGTTTCGGGGATATGACGTCACCCTGTCTTACACCTCTCTGCAATTGGATAGGTTTCGTACTCTGGTTCTGTACTCGGATAGCCATCGTAGCCCTACTGTACAAGCACTTCAACACTTCGATATACCGACAGTCAACTTGGCACCGCTGAAGGGACTGCAGCACCGCCCAAATTTCGACGGAATCAAAGGCTTTCTCATAGTCCACATACGCCAGACATAGTGGCAAATTGTACTCTTCGGACTTCTGTACAATTTGCCGAAGGGTATGTATGTGGTCTATGGTGCTAAAGCCCTTTTGGAAACCGGCTTGTTCGGGAGGCTGGAAGTCATCAAGTCTGAGCGCGAGACGATTCGTAATGACTCTGAATTAAGTATAAGCCATTTTAATTTTAACTCAGGATTGACTGTAACCAGCATTAAATATTTTGTAACTAGCAACAGCAATACAGAAAAATGGTCCGTACTATGTACTAGCTTGCTACATATTTATTATTCTGTGGTCCATACTGTGAAAGCTAACCGTAGAGATTATTACTCCTCGGTGAACGCAATCTCATATCGTGTACCATAAACAAGCATACTGTCGGTGACATAGATTACTCTATAGTCTGTCGCAATAGATTACTGTATGGTCTGTGACGACTATAGATGCAAGTCACACAAAGATCTGTTGATTACGGTTGATAAGTACTCACTACACTATGTGACTTGATATTGTTACAAACAAACAGTCATGACACAAAATATTATATTATGGTGTGCAGTGATAGGAACATATAATGACATTAAATAAAGAAGATATATAAATGTTTGTTTTGTAACGATAGACAGTGCAAAATACATTCACTTTGTCCTATTTTTTTTTCATTATATTACTTATCCATAACGGGTTTGACACTTGTTTAGTTTTAACAGTAACTGGAACATAACTCTCAATTTATTGAAGTGGTACTTTGTTAAACTGGCTAACACGATTCGTGATACTGTTTGGTTATTTTATCAAAATATTTTTTGATAGGAATCATTAGCAAACAGATTTGGTCAACAATACTTGTATTATAATCATAGTTGAATACTTTGCAAATACTATTTTGATATACAATAAGGATATTAATTTACTTTTGTC